TGCTTCAATTGTTTGGGGAAACACAAGTCTTCAGTGTGTCAGTCAAAATTCCGCTGCCATAAATGTAAGGGGAAACATCACACAAGTTTATGTTTGGGCCCCACTGATCCTGCCATCAACCCTCCGACCACACCTGACAATACGGCTCCCACTCACAGTCCTCATACTTCTATAGCAGAGCCACCCTTCAGGGTACATACCTCTCTCGCACCAATTACTCAAACGAATATCCCAGTCAACAATGGCCCAATATCACTCTTGAAAACTGCTGTAGCAACTGTTGGCTATAACCATACGCACTGTGAAGCTAACATTCTATTCGACGAAGGTGCACAGCGCTCCTTTATCACGCAGTCCTTGGCTGATCAACTAGGCATACTTTACACAGAGAATGAATCTATTGCCTTGTCTGCCTTTGGTGCACACTCCTCATCCAACAGACGATTACCTATGGCCAACATCACTATCGTCACTAACAATGGGGAACACATACCAGTACGTGTCCTTGTGATTGACCAAATCACCACACCACTTCAGAACCGCTTTCGGCAGCAGGTCCGAACCATACCCTACCTAAGGGGTCTTCAACTTGCCCACCCTGTGACGTCGGACGAGAATTTTGAAATCTCACTTCTACTTGGTGCGGATCACTATTGGGATATAGTGATGGACACGGTCATCCGCGGTCAAGGCCCAACTGCTGTAGAATCAAAGATTGGCTACCTCATCTCTGGACCGCTACAGACTAACTGCGTCAATCGCACTGACACTGCTGTGAACCTGCTACAGACACTGTCTTCCACAACGGCGGCAGAACGTGATCTTGAACATTTCTGGTCTCTGGAGTCTATAGGCATCACACCACCTACAGAAGTGGATAACCAGGAGTCCTTCCTGCAACACTACCAGAGATCCTCAATCACAAGAATGTCCGATGGCAGTTACAGCGCCAAATTCCCATGGAAGGAAGATTTTCCCACACTACCTTCCAACTATGGTAGCTGTGCACGCCGCACGCGGGCTATGGTACGCCGCCTTGCTCAGACACCTAGCCTTCTTACCTCGTACGGGGAAATTATCAAAGAACATGAAAGGCGTGGATTTATTGAAAGGGTTGACAATGTAGACAGTATGGATAGAGCGCACTACCTCCCACATCACGCAGTCAAGAAAGAATCTGCTACCACACCTATCAGAGTTGTTTTTGATTGCAGCTCCCGATCCTCAAACAACTCTCCAAGTTTGAACGACTGCCTTATGGTGGGCCCTCCATTTCTAAGCGATATGTGCTCCATCATCATAAGATTCCGATCCTTCACTTACGGCCTGTCCACAGATATTGAGAAGGCCTTTCTTCATGTCGGTCTCGATGGCAATGACCGAGACTTTACCCGATTTTTCTGGTTGTCAGACCCTAAGAATCCGGAAAGCGAATTTCAGGTCTTTCGTTTCAAGACGGTCCTATTTGGTTCCACCAGTTCCCCTTTCATGCTGAACGCTACACTGCATCATCATCTGGAAAACTACAGTACACCTGTGGCCAAAGACATTGGAAACAATATGTATGTAGACAATGTTATCTCCGGGTGTGACCAAGAAACTGACATCATCCGTTACTATCAAGAGTCAAGATCAATCATGAATGAAGCCAATTTCAACCTGCGCTCATGGGCATCCAATAGCCCACGACTTCGTGAAGGGGCAGAACAAGATCAAACGGCCGATCCAAGCACTGTGGTCAACATTCTTGGTTTGCGCTGGCACCCAATCCAAGACACCATCTCTCTTGCACCAAAGGAACTCGCCTCCCCTTCCAGTCAACCAACCTCCAAACGTGATGTACTACAACTTGCCTCAAGGACTTATGATCCACTGGGATTCATATCTCCAGTTACTGTGAAGGCCAAGCTCCTCATTCAAGAACTGTGGCAAAGAAAGCTGGAATGGGACGAGCCACTTCCCACAGAACTGGAAGCCAAGTGGAATGACATGGCCCAAGATATCCAAGAGGCTAGCAAGCTGATCTTACCCAGATGCTTCTTCTCACAAGTGCCGTCTAATGCACAACCAATCTACTTACATGTCTTTGCTGATGCCAGCCCTAAAGCATATGGAGCTGTAGCCTACATTTCTAATGGTGACCAGACCTCACTCGTCATGTCAAGGTCACGTGTTGCTCCACTGAAGAAATTGACACTCCCTCAATTGGAACTAATGGCGGCATCAATCGGTACAAGACTAGCTCATTTCGTAGCAGAAGCCCTCAAATCGAGATTTCCCAATATTACAGTCCATCTGTGGTCAGACAGCGAGATAGTCCTCCATTGGTTACACAGCTCCAAGCCCCTCAAACAGTTTATTGCCAACCGCACCAAAGAGATCATGACACTGTTCCCTGTTACTGTCTGGAATCATTGCCCAACCCAAGAAAACCCTGCTGATCTGCTTACTCGTGGCATCTCTACAACACAGCTTCACACCTCATCTCTTTGGCAACACGGTCCCCAATGGTTACCACTTGTCGAGCAATGGCCGTCTTGGAATCCCTCCAAAATACTCCATCTACAGCTGTGTGACATCGCCGATGCGCAAGACACTGATGCCACAACCAGGAATGGGACGACTCAGACAGATCCGACGGAGAAAGAGCTAGGCATCCATAATCTTATTGATGTTTCAAGATTCAGCACTCTCTCCAGACTTCTCAGCGTAACAGCATACGTTCTACGGTTTGTGAAGAACTTGAAACATCCTGCAACAAAGACACATGGCCCCCTATCTGTACAGGAGAGGCAAGACGCCCAACGCAAGTGGATCCAGAACTCCCAAGCACTAATCTATGCAGCAGAGATTGCTAACCTTCGATCCAACTCCAGTACCCGTTTGACATTAGTGAAACAACTCCGCCTGTTCCTCGATGCTGACGGCTTCCTTCGTTCCGGGGGGAGGATCCATAATGCTCAGCTTGCAGAGTCAGCAAAGTTTCCCTATCTGCTTCCACCCAACCATCCCTTCACAGCACTGGTTGTCTACGAAGTCCATAAAAAGCAACTTCACTCTGGTGTCAACGCGGTAGTGACCATGCTTCGCCAAACATTCTGGATAACTTCAATTCGGCAGTATGTGAGGAAACTTCTTCGTCGATGTGTGACCTGCCGGAAGGTGCAAGGAACGGCCTTCAGAGCTCCAGATCCCGCACCCTTACCTAAGTTAAGAGTCCAGGAAGCAAAACCATTTTCAGTAACTGGAGTTGACTTTACTGGACCCCTCTATGTGCGATCAGAAAAGGGTACCACCAAGAGCTACATTTGTCTGTTTACGTGCGCTGTAACAAGAGCGGTACATCTGGAAGTTGTCAGTGACCTCTCGGAGCGAAGTTTCCTGCAAGCCTTCCGACGATTCTCAAGTCGCAGATCTGTGCCACATCACATGATATCAGATAATGCCTCCACGTTCCTTGCGGCCTCAGATACCCTCAGTGACCTATTCAAATCTCCTTCACTAAAGGAACAGTTCAGCCGACAAGGCGTTGAGTGGAAATTTATCCCGAAACGCGCTCCATGGTACGGAGGCTTTTGGGAACGAATCATTGGACTAACGAAACGAGCCATTAAGAAGACGCTTGGCAAGGCATCTATCACCTTAACAGAGCTCCAAACACTCGCCACTGAAGTAGAAGCTGTCCTGAATGATCGCCCTATCACTTATGTTTCAAGTGATTGTACAGACGAAGAGCCATTAACACCTTCTCATCTCTTAAACGGGAGGAGAATCTCTTCCCTGCCTTATCCCATTGCTGATGATGATCCATCTGACCCGGACTATGGAGGTGCATCTGACATGAGGCAGCGTGTGACAGCACAAGCCCATATCCTTGAATGTTTCTGGAACCGATGGAGACACGAATACCTGACCTCACTTCGCGAATTCCACAGAGCATCCGGTACCAACAAGCAATCAATCAAGACGGGAGATGTTGTACTAGTCTATGACGAAGGTCCCAGATCATCATGGAAGTTAGCAGTTATAGAAGACCTGATTAGAGGAGGTGATGGCTTTGTAAGGGCAGCACACATTCGCACAAGTACTGGATATACCAACCGTCCTGTCTCCAAACTGTATCCTCTTGAAGTTACTGCAAGTCCCTCTTCCTCTAGGATTGCATCGCGAAATTCTCCTGAGCAACAATCTACCGTAGTCACATCAACTAGACCGAGACGAGCTGCGGCTACTGACGCCATGGGGAGAATTTCAGAATGGACAAGATGCATCCGCGCCCCCCCGGAGGATGTCGAGTAGACTGAACTTGCTATTTGAACCTTGTTATTGTTTAACTCAGCATGTTATGCGGTCATGTCATAAATGTATGCGCACGCGCAAGTCACATGGAAAGTACTGTATGATCAGATCGTCCTTTTGAAATATAGCTGTGTTTGGTTATCGAGATTCTGTTCCTTGTCTGTTCGTTTGTCTTCGTTCACCGTTCCCCTAAATTATCAGACTGTTATCTAAAGACCCACACGACAGTGGTAAGCCATAATCGACACACCATGACAGACACTCAGAAAGCCGCACAAGTACAAAAGATGCAAATGATGGACGCTTTGGAGAAAGTGAAAGCAGAAACCGTTGTTTACGAGAAAAAAGTACGGAAACAAACCGAGTTAATGGATAAGAACAAGGAAGAAATTATGTCGTGCGAAAAGAAGATGACAGATTTAGTGGAAGATTTGATTCGCGATTTGCGGGAACATGAGAGGATCATGAAAACCAAATTCGCTGAAATTTATGAAGCGCAAGAAAAACATCACGCAACACAAGTAGAAAACTTTGAGTTGGTTTTGACTCAACTAAAAAGTTGCGTTGAACGAGGTGAGACTATCGTACAAAGAAACATCAGTGCTGAAATTCTGCAAACAAACCAAGCCATTGTTAAACGCTGTGAAGAACTTCTAAAAGCCAGAAAACCTGACATTTATAAGCCTTCACAAGTAAATTATATGGTTGAACAGAAAGTGAAGATTTTGGATCGTATTGTTGTCAGTGACACAGATCCTTCGCTATCGTTGGCTGAAGTGGCAAGTCTGAAAGATGTAAGAGAAAAACTGGAAACAAATTTTACCATAGTAACCCGAAACTCGGATGAGGGACAGTGTTATCAGGAAGAGGATGTGATTACAGTCAACATATTAAATCCCGCAGGTGATCAACTGGAAACAGAGATGAAAGACGCCAAAGACGGCAAGTACACAGTAACATACACACCACAGTGTGTTGGACAACATAGAGTAGAGATCCAAGTTAATGGACAGCCGCTGACTGGTAGTCCCTGGGTTGTACAGGTGATTGGTCCGCATCAGTATCAATTTGCGTTTCAATTTGGATCATATGGAAAAGAGCAAGGACAGTTTAACTATCCTTGGGGTATTGCTGTGAATGATAAAAGTAGAATTCTTGCTGTTGCTGATTACAATAATCAGAGAATTCAGATGTTTGGCTTTGAAGGGGATTTCCTCAGAGAGTTTGCACTGAAGGGTAAGCCCTTTTCGTTGGCTTTTACCGAGTCAGGTGACCTCCTTGTTCGTCTAACCTATGACAAAAGCACCACAAAAAATTTACTCTTTACTGAAAATGGTCAGTTTATCAAGTACATTGGCGGTGAACATATAAAGACACCATACTACGTATCAGTTTCCAGTGATGGTCGCATTATCACAAGTGACTCTAATGACAAGACAATCAAAGTTCTTACAGGTGATGGAAAAAACTTACTTCAGTCATTCAAAGCCCCAGATTGTGATGAAACCCCAGACTGTGTCGTTTATCAACAGGACAAATTTGTTGCTTCTTTTTCTTCTGCATGTCGTGTCATGGTATTTAACAACGCAGGGGAGTATGTACATGACATTGGCAGCAAGGGATCTGGTGACGGGCAGTTCTCGGAGCCCAGAAGTGTCGTTATCGACAAGTTTAACCGTTTGATCGTTTGCAATAGCGGGGGGAAAAGAAGACTGCAACTTTTCACTCTTGATGGAAAGTATATCGCTCAGATAGCTGGGAGTATTTTTGAGAATCGCCACCCTTGTTATGCTGTCATCTCTAATACTGGACATTTGTTTGTTACTGATTCACGGCGGCACTGTGTGTATGTTTTCCATTAGCACTGTAAGCGAACCAATGTGTTTATGGAAGTGACATGGTATATTCTACTGCTATGAACCATTTGACATGCTAGCAAATAATAACTACGATACATTGTCTCGGTGTTGATATTTGAAATACACGTTTCTTAAGCACATTACGAAAAACGTCTGTCTGTTGAAATTAAGGCAAGATCAAATAGCCATTACCCTGCGGGTACTTTTACAAACGTGTAAACAGGTAATTAGTTTCTTTCTTTCTGTGAATATGACTGTTTTTACTGAGATATGGCACTTTGTAGTCTTGAAAACTCTTAAGTGTTTGTTTTAGCGAGATATCCGTCTAATTTAGATGCAGGTTAGGAGAGAGAGGTTGTCCATTATCTAATATACATCCGGCAATAGCTCTTGATGCTAGAAATTATTTATATTAGTTTGGTGTACCATTGTTCTAGAAAGAGGTACAGTTTTAGCTAATTTTTTTTTGCGTTTATTGCCTAGTGCGTGTTTGCTTAAAATGTGGAAGAACATGAAGCGAGCAAGTTACTACCTTAGTGAGGAAGAGACTTGCCCACTTACCCAGGGGCCCGGTTGCATAAAACCTGCACTTAAGTGGTCACTTAAGTAGGTCACTTACGAATCCGTTATGGGTACACTTACGGGTATTGTATGAAACGCACTTACCACTCTCCTAATTTTTGTTGTACGTGGTAACTTACGGGCGCACTTAAGGGCACACGTAACTTTGTTATGGTACTTCAATTATTAATTTGACTCACTTTTAAGTTAACCATCCGCCGAGTGTAAAGAAAGTATTAAATCGTTCCAAACATTTTTAAGGCTCACATCGAAATAAACATGAAATCATTACTAAACTTCAATATCCACTGGAAAAGTTTGTTCTTCTTCTTTTTTCTTAATGACAGTTTAAAGTGTACATCCGAGGTTAACAAAGCGCATTAGAACGGCATTACGTAAAGAAGAATTTTTTTTCATTTCTCAGTTAAAGATCTCGTTAACTTTGGTAAAAATCGTAAGGATACGGAACCAAAACATAGGCCCCGTCAATTTATGTGTTATTTTTCCCGTAAAAAATGGTTTTGTGCAACACCCGCAATTTCTTTAACATAAACGACACGTAAGTGAACACTTACGTAAAAATGGTAGATTTTAATAGGCTCGGTTTTCCCCTAGGAGCGCGGGCTTATTTCCCGAACAACGGCTGGTAACGGAGCCTAAGATTTATGAAATAGAATTCGTTCGATTAGCTTCTTTGCTTTCTTTTGTAACTTCACGAACCCGGCGAGTCGCGGAGGACTCTTATAATTAGGGACAGTTCTAATTTCATGTTGTATTCTACGTGAGCTATTATTAATGCATCGTTGTCAGCTGTAAAAATTCTCGATGTCTTTTAGATGGAACTGTAAGACTGATCCAAGATTTTCGGCTACAACAACCTTGTTGTGTACAGTGAAGCTGTATTGCGCAAACTCAATAGCCTGTAAGGCTAATTGTCCCAATTCACTACCTCTTTCAACGCTCGCTACGCAGGCAAGAACCCAGCAACTCCATTATATAGCTGGACGTCTTATCCAATTAGCAGACACGGATGCCATTGAGTTTCCAAATACTTTGGAAACAGGGATTCTGTGTGAATTGACTGTTTCACCCAGACCCGATAAGGCACCTTGTTTATCCGCCGCCAACCGCCCCTCCCCTCCCCCCCCTGTTGGGACCTGTAATACCCAGGAAAAATAAACCTTTTTAGCTGATATGTTTTGTTTTCCCAGATCAGACCACGTGATGTTCTCCAGGGAACTTGCCTTTTGTTTTGCCATTAATTATGCATGCACATGCATGCGCATGCAGGTGCATAAGACGACATTTGAAAGAAACAGTTCTCTGTGGTACCATCACGTTGTCTGTCAGGGAAAAAAACATACAAACTAAAACGGTCTATTGGAAAAATGGTTCTGTAAAATATTGTTGGGTAATCAAGGTGCATTATGGTCTCGGTGAAAATGGTGAATAGTAAAATGAATGTTTAGAACTTTTTAACCAGGTGGTGAGTTGAAAGAGAAATGCCCATAAGAAAAGGCATCTCAAACGGGCAAGCCAGTGTGTAACATGTTCACAGACCCTCCATTTTCTCTTTACAGAGGTCATCAAGAACTCGTATATTTGACTCAGAAACGTAAATTGGATCCATTGAAGAGCTTCAAGTACCACAGACATCAGCACAAGGGAACTAAGGTGTGAACAAATTTTGATCTTTTTACGCTCACTTCAGCTTTCTTTATTTTTAACCCAGGTTACAATTTACCGTACATATTTTTCATCACACATCAAGGAATGCTTGTTTTACTGCTTTTCCTTGCATGTTGATGCAAATTCGCTTGACGTCACGGAGAAATCAATAAATGGCTTAGCTCCATTAGAAACTTTTCGTTGGTCTGTGGTTAGAGCACCGGGTATCTGGGTTATAATGGGTTCCAATGTCTTCCTTGACCCTCATTGATAACAGCACTTAGTGCTACTCATAAGGCCGTTCCCTTTTAAGGAACTTTCCTTTGTATATTTAGGGGTCGACCATTTGACTTTTGAAGGGGATATGGGTGGTTCGGTTAAAGCGAGAAGAATTTTTTTTCGCAAACCTCTAGATTGTTTTCAAGCATTATACGTCATAAGAGTTTTTTTCAGTGCAGGAAAGTTTTTTCCCAAGGTATTTCCTTGCAAGTCATTTTTTTTCCCATCGAATCCAGTCTACGGGAATATCATCCATATTCCCTCCCCTCAAAAGTCAAATGGTATGATTGCTGGGTCTGATCTCTGATGGTTGGTTAGGCTAAGCACGCGACGTTGCAAAAGGACATCTCCAGTTTCGGCTGAAAAAAAAAGAGTTTCCTCTGGTAGTATTGAATTACATTGACAATAACAGACAGCCGTTTTTGCTTTTCTCACTCTGATGATTTGGCTTGTTGGGACGGGGTGGTGGGGGGTACTCTCTATAATGACCTGTACGGAGTTTCCTTTTTCGGCTTCAGGTAAATGAAGGGGTAGGTATTTCATTAGTTGAATTCTATGAACTAAGGTTAGAGATATCTATCTTTTAAAAAAGGACCAAAAAGGGCTAACAGGCGCAGACAGATTTAAAAGAGACAAACTTCTTGGTTAACTGATTTATTCATTTCTAAAATACGGTTGATTTACAGCAGTTTAAGTGGATGCAAATTCTATACTTGGTATGTGCATGAAAAGGGTATCATTTGTCGGTAGAACGTAAACGAAAAGAGTGCCTTTTCTGGGTTTACCATCACTTGTGAATCAAGGCTTCGCTAAAATAGCATGTCCAGTTTTCAGTGTCATTAACGATGATGAATATGCACCAAAGAGCATGATTAAAGATCTGATTGAACAAAGAAACAATAAACACGACCTCTGCAGGGGAAATGATATTTTAAAGCGGCTAATGGCCAACTCTTCAACATAAGGCCTTAAATCGTGGTGGTTTACAGGGCTCATCTCGGTGTGAGAACCTGTTAAACTCACAAGTGACGTAAAACAGAGGAAACAAAGAAGTCAACACAATAGAACGTGGAAAAACAAAAGGTGCGAAACAAAGAAGTTCACAGGCCCTTACACTGAGGTAAACCCGTTTACAGCGCCGAAACTATGGAACTCAATACCCGATTCATATAGAACTATACGATCTTTCACGGGTTTTAGAAATAGTACTAGGAGTAATCGGAGCTTAGGAGAGTGCGTTCAATATGTTTGCTAGGCGCACAGGTAGCAGCTGAGGGGAAAAGGCGGATGGTTCTTACGATAGATAAATATGATTATGGCATATTTTGAACGTAAGGGTTGCGTACAGTGAAACTTCGATTTAAACTGTGTATCATTATGAAAAGGTTTTGAAGGCTAGTGATCAGCGTGATATCGTATGGTTCGTCTCAAGTGCCTGTTATTTGAGGAGACATTGGCCAGAGTGCTTCGGGCGTGTAAATAGAACCTTTTGCTTTACTGGCGCATTATAGATGCTCTACAGGGCGCAGTTGTTCGAAGGCTGATCAGCGCTTAACCCGGGTTTCTTTTTCTTTTGTTAAAAAACATTTCTTTGGATAGTTTCTCAGTTATTTTTAAGAGCGTCCACAACTTGTTGGCAAAATGAAGCTTTCACATCTGAGTTTAAATTTCGCACTAACCCTCCTCGCATGGGTTATCTTAACCCAGCTTTGAACAACCAGGCCCATGAGGTACTGTTAAAAAGCAAACAGTTGACAATAGGGCCATTTATACGAGGGAAAATAAGACGCGTCTTACATAAGACGCGTCTTAAATAAGACGCAAACTGTACCATTTATACGAGCATGTCATATCTAATAAGACGCGTCTTAGCTAAGCCGCGTCTTATTTTCCCTCGTATAAATGGCCCTATTGTCAACTGTTTGCTTTTTAGACGAAATGTGCCGTTTATACGGAAAGTTCGCGTCTTATCTTTCCTCGTATAAATGGCCCTAATGTTTTAGATGTAATCATTAATTTTATTTAATATTGGGAATTCCACATGTAGACAATTACTGAAATTTACTATAAAATGCCAGAAACAGTTACTGAAAAGTCTTCTTAACTTGTGATGATATTAAAGAAGGACACAAGACCACATTTTTGTGGTAAATGCCGGGGCACAGTAGGGCTATATATACGAGGAAAAATAAGACGCGTCTTAAATAAGACGCGAACTTTCCGTATAAACGGCACATTTCGTCTAAAATAAGACGCGGCTTAGCTAAGACGCGTCTTATTAGATAAGACATGCTCGTATAAATGGTACAGTTCGCGTCTTATTTAAGACGCGTCTTTTGTAAGACTCGTCTTATTTTTCCTCGTATAAATGGCCCTAATGATTGTGTTTCAACACTGGCTCACTTACACTACACCTCTCAATTTCACACGTTTCAAGGGAATCATCAAAGCCTTCAGTGGAATGTGTGTGCGGCTCACGGAAATAACGTTTCCGGTAATTAGGTCGAGTGCATTGATTTCAGTGGCTTGAGTGGTGCTACTGTGGGCTGGTCGCGTTGTTCCGAATAAATAACACAGAGCTAAAATGTTCGTTTGTCCAGCGCCGAAAATATCACAAGTCATGATGAAATGGTGCCGCCGAGCTTCACATCTCGGTAGATTTACTTTGTGGCACTACGGCCTCCTAGCTACACAACTCAGTAGATTTACTTTGTGGCACAACAGACGCTGAGCTTCACAACTCGCCGGTAAATTTACTTTGTGGCACAACGGAAACCGAGCTAAACAACCCGGTTTGATGCATGCACCAGGAGTAGCACGCATTTTCCAAAGAAAATTATGAAGGCTTAATCCAAAGTAAAATTTTACTCAGGGTGCAAACTTTCAGCACGATGAACGCTTTGGAAGATTCATTAAATACAGATCGATAGTAGACATTCAGCAAACTCTTAAATATGTAGACGCTTTACGAAGATTCAGCACACTTTTAAAAGATAAACGATTTACGAAGACAGAATAGCAGACCTCAGCAAACGTTTGAAAGATGAACGCCAAGGACACACGAATCACCACGTGAGTTAGCGCGTCAAAGTGAGGCAAAACGTAAGCAAGCGCCTCAAAGCGAGGCAAATGTGTGTCGACGACGACGACGAATGCAATCTCGAAAAAACCTCCCTTATTAATTACACAGGACACCCAATAATGCACAGAACACCCGACACAAATTAGGGGTTGCGTTCTCGTACCTCGAAGGCAATTAGAAAACTGGACTTGTCAGGTTTAGTATAATTGCAAATAGTTTTAGCTTTATTTTAGTATTATGTAAATTACATTTTATCTCCAGTTTAATTAGCTATTTTATATACAGTTTCCATTATAATTATCTATTCATTTCATTTTTCAATGTGAAATACCAGTAGCTAGTGTATTTTCTCACAAATAGCTAAGCGTATTTTCACAATAAACTTGACTTGAGACTTGTGACCCAGTGACTAGGGGTTATCAGTTTCTCCTAGATGTAGTTTTTGCATGCTGCTATATGAAAGGTTTAGAACGTTTACCGTATCATAGTTATACGAGCATAGTTTAGATCGTTTTGTAGGGTGGTTTTCTAGCTGAATTTTTTAAATTCCCGAGTTTTCGTTCTGGTTGTTGTATCATTCCCATCCATTTTGTTGATGAAGGCATAATAAAGAGGGTCGCACCCCAATTGTGGTTGCTTATTACATGATAAATGTTTTATATTCGTTTGGGGGAGGGGAGGGTGGCGAATTAGAATATAACTCAACGGTATCGCGTCGCTCAATAGCCCCTCCCCCTCCCCTCCCTCACAACAAGGGGAGTAGGAAGGAAATACGACCTCCATAGAAGATCGAGGCTAGAAGTATAACTTCCAACGATTATCTCGACCACGATCTTGCTATTTAAAGCCTTGGGTACTAGTGATTCCGGCAAATTTTCTCGGAAAATCACGCGTCACTTAAATTTAAAAAAAAATTCGTTGTCAATTGACTGCCATACAGTAGCTGTCGGCCAATGATCGTGCGGAATTTACTATTAATTTTAGAACAATGAAAGGTAGCAGTCCATTTCAAAATTACAGCTCTGAAAAAGTTACGCATAATCATCCCACCTATATTGGACCATGGATGTGCAATAACTCTTCAGAAATCTTCAGAAAGAGGCAGTGTCCGCTGTGTTTAGAGACAGTTAACAATCCCAAGACTTTGCCATGTCTTCACTCATTCTGTCTCGAGTGTCTCGACAAACATGCAGGCTTCGCAAGAAGACAGCTGCAAGCAACAATCAAATGTCCGGTTTGTCAGACATCTTTTCAAATCCCGGAAGGCGACTCTTTCAAGAACTCAGCCCTCATCTTATCATCTCAACCGATTGGTGGATGTTTTGGCTCTTAACGTTGGCGGCACACAGGCCCCGAAATGTGGCAGTTGTGATGAGAACAACACCGCTTCCTCTTACTGTTTCGTGTGCCAGAACTTTCTTTGTACTGCTTGTTTTGAAGCTCACCAACGCTTGAAGGCCACAAGAGGTCATCGCAATGTTGTGATAGAGAAATTGCAAGCACAAGATGTGGAGGATTTGATCCACAGACCCGTCATGTGTTCACAGCAATATCACGAANTTGTACTGCTTGTTTTGAAGCTCACCAACGCTTGAAGGCCACAAGAGGTCATCGCAATGTTGTGATAGAGAAATTGCAAGCACAAGATGTGGAGGATTTGATCCACAGACCCGTCATGTGTTCACAGCAATATCACGAAAATCAACCGCTGGAATTTTATTGCGAAGAATGCAAAGTTCCCATTTGCCACAAGTGCAGTGTAGTTAGTCATAATCGACATACCATGACAGACACTCAGAAAGCCGCACAAGTACAAAAGATGCAAATGAAGGACGCTTTGGAGAAAGTGAAAGCGGAAACCATTATCAACGAGAAAAATATACGGAAACAAGCCGAGTTAATGGACAAGAACAGAAACGAAATTCTGTCCTGCGAAAAGAAGATGACAGATTTAGTGGAAGAATTGATTCGTGATTTGCGTGAACATGAGAGGATCATGAAAACCAAATTCGCTGAAATTTATGAAGCGCAACAAAAACATCACGCAACACAACTAGAAAACTTTGAGTTGGTTTTGACTCAACTGAAAAGTTACGTTGAACGAGGTGAGAGTATCGTACAAAGAAACATCAGTGCTGAAATTCTGCAAACAAACCAGGCAATTATTTAACGCTGTGAAGAACTTCTAAAAGCCAAAAAACCTGAAATTCATAAACCGCCACACTTGCATTACGTAGTGGAACAGAAAGTGAAGATTTTGGACCGTATTGTTGTCATTGACACATATCCTTTGCTGTCGTTGGCTGAAGTGGCAAGTCTGAAAGATGTAACAGAAAAGACGGAAACAAATTTTACCATTGTAACCCGAAATTCGGATGGGGAACAGTGTTATCATGAAAGGGATGTGATTAAAGTCAGCATATTGAGTCCCGCAGGAGTTCAACTGGAAACAGAGATAAAAGACACCAAAGACGGCAAGTACAAAGTAACATACACACCACAGTGTGTTGGACAACATGGAGTCGAGATTCAAGTGAATGGACAGCCGCTGACCGGTAGTCCCTGGGCTGTGCAGGTGATTCCGAATTATCAATTTGCGTTTCAGTTTGGATCAAAAGGGAAAGAGCAAGGACAGTTTGATATTCCTTGGGATATTGCTGTGAATGATGAAAGTAGAATTCTTGCTGTTGCTGATCGTTATAATAAAAGAATTCAGATGTTTGGCTTTGATGGTAATTTCCTCAGAGAGATTGCACTGAAGGGTAACCCTTATTCGTTGGCCTTTACCGAGTCAGGTGACCTCCTTTTCCGTGTTTCTCTTGACTTGTTGAACAGCAGAACTGCTCTCTTTACTGAAAATGGTCAGTTTATCAGATGCATCGGTGATGAAGATGTAAAGGATCCTTTGTACGTATCTGTTATCAGTGATGGTCGCATAATCACAAGTGACATCAGCGACAAGAGAATCAAAGTTCTTACAACTGATGGAAAAAACTCACTTCGGTCGTTCAAAGCCCCGGATTGTGATGAAACCCCGGTCTGTGTCGTTTATCACCAGGAGAAATTCTTTGCTTCCTTTTCTTCTGTTTGTCGAGTCATGGTATTTAACGAAGCAGGGGAGTATCTACATGACATTGGAAGCGAAGGATCTGGTGACGGAGAGTTCTCGAATCCCACTGGTCTCGCTATTGACAAGTTTAGCCGTTTGATCGTTTGCGATGCGGGAAACAAGAGATTGCAGCTTTTCACTCTTGAAGGAAAGTATATCACTCAGATAGCTGGAAGATTTTTTAAGGGAGGTCGTCCTCGTTATGCTGTCATCTCCAATACTGGATATTTGTTTGTTACTGATTCTTATCGAGACTGTGTTTATGTTTTCCATTAGCTATGTGAGCGAGCCATTGTGTTCTCACTGTGTGGTAACATATTTTACTGCTATGAACCATTTAAGATTATTGAACAGTACCATTTGACACGCCAGCAAATAATAACTACGATACATTGTCTCGGTTTTGTTATTTGAAAGACACGCCTCTTGCTCTTCCGAAACGGTGACGTGAATACCATATTTCTTGTCGTGTAAGGGAATGCCCTAAGTGGACCTCTTTAATAATTTAATGCAACTCACTTAAGTTAAGAGTACACGTACGTAAAACTTGACTCCTTTGACATGGGCATAAATTTTAATAAGCTCGATTTCCGCCGAGGAGCGCGGGCTTATTTTACGGCTGGTAATAAAGCCAAAGATTTTAACCGTGTGCGGGTATGAGGTAACTTCGCGAACACCCGCCAGTCGCGAAGGACTCTTTTAATTAGAGACAATTCTTATTTTGCGTTGTATTCTACGTGAGCTGTTGTCGATTCATCGTTGTCAGCTGTAAACATCTGCAGTTTTCTCGATGTCTTTGCGATGGAACTGAAGGATTGATCCGAGTTTTTCGGCGACAACAACCTTGTTGTGCAAAGTGAAGCTGTATTGCGCGAACTCATTAGCCTGTAATGCAGGCGCAAAAAAGCCCCTCAAGGGGGAGAGGAAGAAAAGCGCGAAAAGCAAAAGGGTACCCTCTTCCCCAATCCGGAAGAGATTGTCCTGATTACCCTTTTGGCAAGCTTGTGACACGCTTGTGACACGGCGTGGTTAATTTAGTTCAGTTGGGAGGGTGCTGCAGGTACCAGTTCCTTTTAGGTTGGTCAAGTCGAACATCATCCGGGGTTAATTAGGACATACTTTTAAAACTCCCTGCTTAGAGATATCCCTAACCTGAGAAAACAGCCAACGTCTCGTGACGCCACTAACGGTTTCCCAGCGTGAGGCGGAACGAGCACAGAAATGTCCTCACTGATGACGTGTCACTACCCTAATCTGAGAAGTGCTTTTGATTGGTTGAAAGTAGCACTACCGAGACCTGGGTAATGCCGCGTCATCAGTATGGGATTTGGGCGCTCTTCCCTAAACGTCATTTCCAGGGGGAAACCGTTGATGATGTTACGATTTGTGGGCTGTTTCCTCACGCCAGGAGATATTTGGTTTTGAAAACATATTATTCAGTTACGATAATTAAAAGCCATAATCGAAAACAAACTAATGGAAGGTAAGTACAGTTAAATATTTAAAAATTTATTCACAGATTTATAACTAATCAGTCCCTCAGGAACCGTTGCCTGGTCTGCAGGGCTGGATGTCCCAGGATCGATCTCCGGTTAGGAAGGGATACTAAACAGCCGTTTTTGCTTTTCTAATTCTCATGATTTGGTTTGTTCGGGGTGAGGGACCGGAGGGAGTGGTACTCTCTACAGTGGCCTGTACGGGGTACCTTTTTTCAGGCTTCAGGTGTATGAGAGGGTAGGGATTTCATTAGTTGAGGTGCATGAAAAGTTAGAGATATCTGTAATAGGACCAAAAGGGCTAACAGACATAACTTCGTATGTGAAAGGGGTATCATTGGTCATTAGAACGTAAACGAAAGGAGTACTCTTTCCGTCAAAAATGGTGTATAAAAGGGTAAGGTGCTGGACCTCGGGGTGGAGTCTCTCCAAGTATCCCCGGGGGCTTGTGTTAGTTTGATGTGCTGTATGTTAACCCCTTAAACCCTAACATCACATAAAAATTCTCATCTGTTATCTATATACGTTTTCAATGGAAGTAGTGGGGAGAATTTGTTGAAGTATCAATTAGATTCATCTTGTGTGATCATGTCCTTAATTCTCATGACCACTCTGTTTTATAAGCACTGATATTACAAGGATAAATTTGACGCTGATCACTCTTAGGGCCTTTGGGGTTAATCCGTAAGTAGAAAAAAATACATTCATTCATCAAGACGTGTTCTTTCATTTACACAGGGACATATGAAAGGAAAGAAAACTTAATCAGTGGTTGGCATACTTCAATTCTTTGTTTGGGAACGGAATATCCATGATCTAGTAGCCTCCCACACGCACGAAAGGAAGGAACACGTGACGAAGCCTTTGCTACTAAATGACCAAATGACGTCATTCGGATTAAGGTCAGCCACTTCCGACTCTATGGCGGAAGATCTCAAATAATGGTGTAAAATTCGCTTTTCACCGGTTATTGATGCTACGGAAACTACTAAAGGAAAAAAGTCATACGTTAAACATTGATCAAATGGAAGTTTTCTTTGTCGACCTGAGCAATTTTATGCCAGTCAGTGAAACCTAGAATCAACCCCGGGAGATTTCCTCGTACTCAAGAAAGAACACATAGAAATCTCCTATCGACGAAACCAAAATCAGGCTACCGTTGAAGATTTATTACTTGTTATCAGTTCAAAGATTAATGGACGAGAAGAGCAGTTTAACTGGGCATAGTTTGTATAATCATATTACGTTATCAAACTGGAGCATCATAGTTGCTAGTAGGAAAAATGATATTAAGTTCTTTTCTGTCTTAGTTCGGCTCCAATGAGAAAGAACAACGGCTTATAGTTAGCAAACCGTGATATCAGATATTTTGATGTAAAAGTAAAGGGCCTGGTTTCCACGACGCGTGTCCAAATTATTTTTAAATAAAAACAAATGGCAATAAAAATTGGGCCTATGATACTGGCCTTTCCGACAGAGAGATCGCTCCCATAAATCCTAACGTGTAAACTGACAGCTACTGAAGAGTATTTTGTAACACCAGCTTATAACGAAAAATATATAGATTTAGCCAGGGCTAAAAGCGAAGCTCTGGATAATATTTACAGCTTGTTCAAACAAAATATAAAATATTGTATGGCAATGCTTAGCGGCGAAGGCATGCAACGCCGACGAACTGTGAAAAACAACAATAGGTCTAATTAGCAAAAAAGCAACTTTGCACTTGCAGCACACTTTTTTTGTACATTTCTTTGCCGTTGTTTTGCACGACTACACGTTTTATGGAGCAAATGTCGTACTTTTCCTCGTTCACTTTTTTTCACTGCCGCTCATTTTCACCTTGCGTTGGTGGCCGCTAGCATTTCTCATTTTGTCACCGCTGCTACAAAATTTTCTTTTAAAATCTCCGTCGCCCTTTTTCTTGTTGAGCTTCGCTAATCTGCCGCCCAATTTCTCTTTTTCTCTGTCTTTCTCTTGCTCTGTATTCCAAATTTGTGGACATGACAATTTATCTAAGCATAATACTTTAGACAACACGGATACAGAAAAAATTTCCGCTTTCGGTTTTCATCTTTATTTACTCTTTTATTGTCTCTGCTTCATAAGACGCCGGTGGCTATGCGATTTCCCGCCAAAATAACCTCGAGTTGCATTTCGGTTGCCATTCCTGTTGATTGAGTTATTTTACATTGGTATGCCTGTGGTGCGGACGGACGGTCTCTCGGGCAGTAACTCAATATTGTTTCCGTTTTTTATTTGAATGGCACGCTTCTTACGGACCTTAGGAAGTCGTTCCAATCGCATGTCAGTAGTTGGTTTGTTTTTAACGCCCAAGAAGTAGAAAACAAACCAACAACGCGACTTCTACTGTCAAGCGACTCGAACAACTTCATGAATGCTAAACCCCATGCAAGAGAGAAACTTTTGCTTGTAAGGTAAATAGCCATTCACGAGTACAACGTTCGGTTATTGCAAGGTGGCGATGATTTTTTTTTCTTACTTTTACAAACATGTAAAATGGTTATATTTTATCAGCGGGGAACTCATTCATTCAGTATTTTGTGGTTTAGATTCTTGCTTTCTGTGAAGACATATAACTGTTTTTCTTTTTTACTGAGATATGGCTCTTTGTAGTCTTGAAGAAAAGAAACGTTTGTTTTCGCGAGATATCTGTCTAATTTAGATGCACGTTAAGAGAGAGATTGTTCATTGCCTAATATACATCCAGCAATAGCTGATTCTAGAAATTATTTGTATTAGTTTCGTGTACCATTATTCTAGAAAGAGGTAATTTGCGTGTTTGCTTAAAATGTGGAGGAACATGAAGCGAGCAATGACAACAACGAGCTGTATTTGCATCACCATATATATACAAGCACATAAAGTATTGCAAAAGCCATTTTTAGGAAAATTACATGACAGGGCAATTACGTTACTTTGATAATAATTTGTTACGAACATCAAAACAAGTTGAAGTATGTTTTATGAACTGTATACTTGATAAAGTAATTAGAGGAGTTCATCAGTTCATTGATCAAACCGTTTATAGGTGACTGAGTAATATTTGGAATCAGAGTCTTGACTTTATTAATACTAAAATTTATTCCTAATCATAGACTATGTAGGACATTGAAAAAGAAAGTGAACTTCGTCTTCTATTAGATTGGATCCACCAAGAGGGCAATGTCTATTATGCTTCGTAGTTTGATTGTGTCTGCCTATTTCTATCATTAGTTTGTGATTGCTTATTCGTAGTTTTACTAAAGCCCTTCTCCCAGCTGTTCCTCTTGTTAAGTCTAAGTAACTAGAGGTGGATCGGTTTTAAAAGATTTATAAAATTAAAGTTTTTAAGGATGTTGAAGGGAGTTTTGCTAATATGAGATATATTCCTGTTTCATTGAACTTACATAGCTTTTTACCATAGCGATATCTAATATATCCGGGTTAAATTAAGGAAGGCTTAAAGTATTCTGATATTTTCATCAAATGAGAGTGGAAGGCTATTTTTGCAATTACAGTGTAAGTCAAGTGACATTAAAAAAGCTTGTTTGACGAAAGCTTCCTCACCTTTTAATTCATCTTCCGCAGAAACGTAAATTGGATCCATTGAAGAGCTTCACATATCAAAAACATCAACAGAAAGGAAATAAGGTATGAACATTCTTTGTTTTTTTGTATCTCCCACAATCAATTCAGCTTTCTTAATTTTTAACACAGGTTACAATTCACTAGCCTGCGAACAGCAGACGCATTTCCGGTCGTCGCTTCTCTCCCTCCGAA